GCATCATCAAAAAAGTCATTGGCTAACTTTTCAAGAGCGGTTATCGCTGTACCATCTACAACCATAAAGAGATTAGAAGGAATGTTCCGTCACACCAACGGGAGTAGTAGAATAATCTTTTGCTTCAAAAATCTCACATTTTTCGTCATAAAGTATTCTAATCTTTGTAAGGAAAGAAGGCAATCCTAGCACGACGTTATTTCACATTAAGAGCTAAGTTTGAATACTGCGAGCTAGGTTTCAAACTCTTGTATTCTCAATCGCAATGAATTTTAACAGGATGGGGCCATATGATCACGAGAAATGCTCCTATCTCCGCTTTTTGTTCTTCTTAGGAGTATAACTGAGCAGGTTTATCTAAAGTAGTGAATGCATTTGTGACAATAGAACAGTCTACAAAAGCATGAACCCCTTTTTATGAAAACACATGTTAGGGATTCTATATGGATTTCACTTTTCCACATCTGTTTACTGAAGCTTGAAAATTCATGAAGAATGTAAATAATTATAGAGATTTGCAGCAGTTACAGCGATCAAAGAATCTAAGTGTTTTTTAGGAAAAGCTGCATCAAAACACATATGGATTCTTGCAACTAATCATCAATCCCAGTTTCTCCTCTTTATCTTGAAACTCCTGTGATTATCAAACCTTTCGTTTACGTCCAGTTTGTTTGTTCAATCTCGCCAGCATATAAGCGAGTTTCCAAAAACCCCCGAGGCTTAAACAATTCATCCAACGTCTTGCGTTTCTGAATACAAATGTTTTCCACTGGAAACGTTCACTGCGAGATTTACAAATGTGAAATTTCGCATCGCGATGGCCCACATCGATGTGGGTGGCCGGAGGTGAAGCATCCGAAGGCGATTGGATGACGCGAGCGAGCGCGGGAATGCGTGTGTTGTATGTATGCACTTATCCGGGGATCGGATCGCCTGGATGACCCGATTTCGGGCCGGACGACGCCTCGTCCACAGGCGGCCATCAGCAAACGCCCTCTCCGCTTTAGCTGAC